TCGGGTCATTCCTCCGCCTCCACCTGTGCAGCTCAAGGATGGGTCTGAATATGAGGTTTAGGACATCCTTGATTCCAAGATCTCACGGTCTAAACTCTACTATCTGGTCGACTGGAAGGGTTATGGACTTGAAGAACGCACTTGGGAACCTGCGGACAACCTGATTCATTCTTCTGACCTTGTTCAGGACTTCCACCACCGCTATCCTTCTCGTCCCAGTCCTCATTCTTTTTCTCCATCTCCCGTCCCTCGCCGCCCATCTCATCCTCCTCCTCATTCTCATTCACGTCCTCATTCCACTCATTCTTGAGGAGGGGGTGCTGTCAAGAATCCCCCAATTCTTGCCACATTCCTGACTCTCGCCGGATTCCTGACCTGCAAACCACATTCCTGACTCTCGATTTCCTATACGATTCTTGAGTCTTGAGCCACATTCCTGATGATGATGTGGCGCCTCCTCAACCTCAACTATATTTGGGCCGTCCTCGATCCAAGAGTGGTGGAGCTTCATCAACCTATAGTATATTTAGGTTAGCCTTGTTCCATTTCTCCACAATCTGAATCAACACTAGTCTAAGGCCTCTTCTTCGTTATTCACTAGCTTTTCTCTTTGTCTTTTGCATTTTCCAGTCTTGATCTTGTTGGGGGTCTTGACAGAGGCATTTTATGTTTTGACGTCTCAAATGGGGGTACACCACACTTTCACAAGTGCTTATCATCCACAGTCAAATAGTTTGGTGGAATGGCTCGTTCGGACATTCAAAGGAATGATCGTGAAGTATGTGAACTTTCAACATTCGGATTGAAATAGTTATTTGCCATCTATTTAGTATGCATATGTCACAGGGGTGTAAAGTTATATTGATGCTTCACCATATAAACTCTTATATAGTCATGATCCAATATTACTAACGGAGTTGGGTTTACCTTCGCAATTGGCATGAGCTGCCAATGCTAAGTCGTGGGATCAATATTTGACGAGCATTCTTCCAATTATCTGAGTAAAGTCTACCAAACACTTAGGCCACGTACAAGTGGGATAACAATAATGCTACAACTCCCCTCATCATCCATCTGTGGAGTACAAAGTGGATGACTTGATGTTAGTCCATTTTCCCCATCTTACGGTACGTGGTTTATCTAAAAGGCTCCTTGCTCAGTGGAAAGGACCATATCGGGTGTTATGGCAAGTTGAACCACAAGTTTATGAGGTTCAGCATGATGTGCAGCAGGCCAATCCTCCATAAATTATGCATGTGCAGTAGTTGAAACAATTCGTACAAAGGGATCAAGAATAGTTGATACCACATATAGATTTACTAATGCCTCCTCTTGATGTTCCTCCAGATCTTGGCCCATCTACAAGAGAATCTTAATAGTCTTCTATTATTCTAAAAGAAGGGGATGATATGGAGTTTAAGTGTACAGTTATAATGCCGTATACTAATACTAGTAGAGTGGGATTTTGGTAGCCATCGGATTAGTTTCAATCCGGACCACTTCCTTCTGTATATAAACTAGGGTTTTTGGGCTAATTGATATGCACATTTTTTGCATTCCCTTTCCATATTCCATGCACTCACATATTGTAGTTTGCTTATCTACTACAGATTTTTCTTGAGATCTTTTAAATTTTCTCGCAGAAATCACCTCCATTGCTCCCAATGTGGAACACCGCTGCTTTAGGGAAAGGGCAAGAGAGTGATGTGCTCGAGAAAATGGCTAGTGAAGCTGCGGCTCCTGGATCTCCCAGGCAGAGATCTCCCACTCAGAGATCTCCCGCTCAATCACCATAGCAATCCCCACAGGAACAGGTGCCAGCAGTAGATTTGGAGCTTGATAGGATGCCTTTCTACAGTCTCGCCACAGTTGCTTTCAGCATGGAGGATCTCCACCGCTACTTTAGGGAAAGGGCATAACCCTAGAAAAGAGTGAGTAAATGGCTAGTGAAACTGTAGCTCCCAATCCCCATAGGAACAAGAGCCAGCAGCAGATTTGGAGCCACAAGCTCTAGATCCACAGCAAGATGTGAGTGCTCCTCCCGAGCCCCCAGTAGCAATAGTGGTGCCTCCACCAGCGACAACAAAGGTGAGTGCTGGAGAGGAGCCAGAAGATGCCACTTAGCCTCTCATACATTTTTCTTCTTTGTAATGATGTATTGATGATGTATTGATCAGGCAATTACAGCAATCTATCATAATAAGGAGGGAGTGCCGCACTTTTTGGGCTGCCAAATCCAGCCAATTGATGGGGGATAATTGTAAAAGGGTTATTTCTTTACCATGTCTTAGCAAATAATTGTGCTGATGTTTGCTCTCGGCCAATGGAGGCAGGCAAGCTGCATGGGGCGGGATAGGAAGGCACAACATGTGTTGCATGCAATGTGTTGATCATGAATGTAGTCTGTCAAGCAAATTAATTTTGTTTTGTAATGTTTTTCTAGGGTTTATGAAATGGTGACAAAGCCCCCTATTGCTACTGCTGATTCGCAATCCAAATCTGAGGCACTGTGTCAATGTAGCTAGAACGAACCATATCCTGGTACAGTTTGTGTCAAGATCTAATCTATTTGTCCATGCCTTCTTTTAGCATTGTTTTAGTTCCAGGTTTGCTTTGGTAGTGGTAGAGCTAAAAAATGAAGGGTCAGATGCCTATAAGTAAATCTATATGGCAAGATGATAGTAATTGAGTGGAGAATCACTGCTGGAAGCAACACTATTGTCTTGAAAAATCACCAAGGTTGGTTTTCTATCGTGCGAAGGATTTAATTCTTTTGTATTGTGTATTCCAGGTGAAAAACTTTCTTCAAACAAGCAAGATTTATGCGATGTGATTGACCATCTCAGTGTAAGCTAAGATTGTATTTTTAAAATTTTCTACTTTCCTACTATCACCTTTTTTTTGTAGATTGACGTAGAAAACCCGTGTGTGATTATGTCTCAACATGAGTAGAGATTTTCTGAGTGCTGGTCAAGGTAACAATAGCTTTTGTTCCAAGCTGAAGGTGGTCTGATATATGCTTATGTTGTAGTTTTACTTCAAGGCAACACTTTTGGAGAAAGTCTCGAAATTGCTGGATATGAACATGAAGACTATTCAAGTATGTTGTGTTGTGATTGCCTTCAAGAGGACAGAAAATCTTTTGAAGTGCTCAAACGGGATTTGGTGAAGATAGAAGAGAAACTTCACCATACAAAACAAATGGATGAACTTGCTTGCGAAAGAGATAAGCTTAGGCTATAGTTTATGAGATAGACAAGAAACTCAAAGACATCCAAGTGTTTGTAATAGAACTCAAGCAACTTATACTTCTAGCTGAAGAGGACAAGTGAGCAGTTTAGTCTTTTATTTGTTGGATGTTTGAGGTTTTTGCATTGTAGCAATTACTTGCACAGACATTATTTTCAATGTAATAATGATAATCAAAATGGTGTTTGCTAAGTGGGGCAGCATATACTGGGCAATGACTAGTCTATTTCTAAGGATAAACTGAAATCTTTAACTTAATGTTTACAATTTATCATTACAACTTAGACAAAATATATGCAGGGATAGAAACTAAATTCTAGGAAGATTGTATTGAAGGATTGTCTTTAAGAGACATGAAATTTTTCCAAAAGCAAGTTAGGTGTCTCACTTCCATCTATGTTCCAGGCATTGCCCAAGTGGCAAGTTCCCACACAGAATTACACCGTCTGTCTTCACATCCCAGGATTATCCCATGATTCTCAAGAATGCCGTCAAAATTGCCAAGGTCATTGCAAAGAGGGAAAATCTCCTGGCTGATCGTGTGAAATGGCTAGAAACTTTTTGATAAGGCACCATTCTAACCCAGATCCTCCATTTCATGCTTTTCGATGGGCACCCATACATACATATTTCAGCAGGTAAATCTGATAGGGCTACATTTGAGGCACAAAGTCAAAAGCAAAAATTCATTTAGTTTGGAAACACAAGACAGCTTTACACATCCTCCTTGCCAACGTAAGGACGTGGAACATACTCCTCTTCTTCCTTGGGTACTTGGATCGTCACCATGTCCGGCAGCGGTGTCGACGGCCCGGTCTTGCCCTTTGGATCCCAGTCCAGCATGATCTTCACCTTGATCCCCAAAACCCCCTGCCAGAACAATCCAATGCTTAGAAACTGGATCCAAATCAAAACGATCGAGTTCTTGCACCTGGCGCAAAAGGACGTGGCGCACGGCCCTGTCGATGAACTCGTTCACGGGGCTGCCAGACGAGATCATGTATCCGTCCTTGAACTTCATCGACTTGGCGCGTTGGGCTCGGAGCTTGCCGCTCACAATCACCTGAAAGGAGCCAGGAATAAAGTTACAACCTGAAGAGCAAAATGCCGAGAGTTCGTCCATACCTCACAACCCTTGGCTCCAGACTCCATGATGAACCTGAGAACACCATAGCAGGCCCTGACGAAGTAGAGAACTCTTAGCACCAAGGCCAAAAAAGAAAGAAAAATCAAACCTTCGGACGGCCAGTCCTCCCAGGAGCTTGTATCGCAAAGACTCGGCTTGAGCGATGGCGCAGAGGCCACGGTTGTTCACCTTCTCGGCATACAGCTCCACTGTGCTCTCGGGGAACGAGAACCTCTTCTGGACGACAGACGTGAGCTCTCGAATTCGGCGACCCTTTTCGCCTAGAATCAAAGCTTACTGAGTGAATCCGCCTAGAAACAGAGGAGTTTACCCAAAACGCTCTGCGTTCGCGTCGCCCGGATGATAATCTCGGTGCGCATCGGTGTGACACGCACCTCCACGCCCGAGTATCCATCCTCCGCTAACTCCCGCGTGAGAAGCTCATTGAGCTCGGCGTAGAACACTCCATCGGCGACGAACTGGAAGAGAGATCAGAGGAGAAGGGGAGAGCGGCATTGCTGAACAAACCTTTCTCTTCTTGCTGATCTGCGTCGCCATTGCCAGAGAGCTAGGGTTTCATGCCATGCCGTCAGATCTAGGGCTCTTACGAAGTCAGGATCAACGGTTGCGATAACGGATTAAAGACTATTAGCTTGAACTAAATCAGCTTAGCTAATCTACAACAAATTTTGAAAAGATTATTTACATCCAAAACTCCTCATGCTTAGCAACTACCAAAGAATTTAATAATTCCTGTAGTTCCCGTCCATGTCCATGTATTGTTGTGGCTGGAACAAGCAAAGGAGAGATTAGCAACGCAAAGCAAAAGAAAGAAGTAACTCCAATCTAGAACCCACAGTCAGTGAGCAAGCGTTCCAAGACTTAGAAAACAAAGGAGAAGATCTGGAACTCTAAAAGCAAGCAAGAAAAGCTATGAGAGAAAACTTACTGGCTGTCCATAAGGCTGGCCACTATATTGTCCAGGCAGAGAATTTGGAGGCCTGTTTGTAAACCACTTTGAAGAACACCGCGAGCCACAAGAAAAGCTTTTACCCGTATTGCTGGCCACCACGGCCACCTCCTCCCATAGGCGGCGGTCCTCGTCCTCCACCGCCATAGGGAGGACCCTGTGGATAGCCTCCCGGTGGAGGCATGGGATACGAGCCTCCTCGTCCACCGGCGGGAGGAGGACCACCGTAAGCTCCTGGCGGCGGTTGGATACCATAGCCACCTTGGTTCCTGTTTTGGTAGCCTCCGCCGCTACTACCACCACTACCTCCGCTACCACCGGGCCGGCCCCCCGCTTGGGGATGCCGGTTGGAGTTTCCAGGAGGACCGCGACCACCACCGCCGCCGCCGCCGCCTGCGTAGTGTCCTTGGTGAGCTCCTCCAGTGTGTGCCGATGGATGGACAGCTTGGCCCGGAACCGGCCTCATGTTTTGGACGGGCGGCTGCTGTTGGATCGGCGGCGGTGGCCGACTGTTGTGGTGGTAGTTTTGATTCGGCTTCTGCCGCTTGGCCATGTCGTCCTTCTGCTGCTGCCGCTTCCTCTTTGTTTGGAACTCGTGAGACGACTCGTAGCGCGGAAGGCTGGAACAAGTTCATATCTCAGTTGGAGGAAATGAAAGGCACAAGTGTATGGAAAATACTTGCCTCGCGGGATCACAAGGAAGAGGATCTGTCCAGAAGTATTCAGCGTCCAAGGCGTCCTTGGCAATTATCCTCTGCAACCAAACATTGGTGAAAACTGCTACATCTATGACGAACACTTGCCTGAAGAGGGTCCAGTGTGAGCATACGCTCAACCAAATCCAACGCATGCCGATCAAATCTACAAAGACACAATTTTGTGAGTCTACTAGAAAGAACACTGGCACTTACTGTTTGAAGACGTCTTTCACACGCCTTTTGTAATATATGCTTGGTCTGTGCATGTTATACCACGGCAACTTTGACACACCCGGCCAGTTTGTCTCGTCCGGGGTTCCACAAAACTCAAAGATTTTAGCCAGTTGATCTTGCTGGAAGCGAGAAAAAAGAGTCAGAAAAGTCATATACGAGAGACTCGCCGCTCACCTCATTTTTTCCCGTTAACACTGGCTTTCCGTAGAGAAGCTCTGCAAAGATGCAGCCCACAGACCACATGTCTACTGCTGGCCCATACTTTGTACAGCCAAGAAGTAGCTCAGGAGGTCTATAACAAACGGCCGTAACCAGAAACATTCTGCAAAGCACGGACTAGGTACCTGTACCAAAGCGTTATGACTCGGTTGGTCAAAAGCGCGTTCTGATCATTAGAAAACGAGCGAGCCAAGCCGAAGTCAGCCAGCTTGAGATTCCCCTTGTTGTCAATCAAAAGATTCGAGCCTGCGCAAATCCACAAAACTTCAGCCAGGCACTGACAAGAATAAACTCAAGGACCTTTGATATCCCGATGAAGAACTTGGTTGATATGACAGTAGTAAAGGCCGGTGAGAAGCTGCTTCATATAACACTGCAAAAGCACCGTGTTGTGTTGAGAACCCGAGAGCATCGCAGCTGTGAAACTCTACCTTGATTTGTGGGACAGTAAAACGCATGCCAGGCCGATCAGACAAGCCTGTAAGGTCGTGGTCCATGTACTCAAACACCATATAAATACTTCCCTTGTATATATTTCCGTCTGGAGGAGAAGGAGATTTTTCTTTGGCTCCTTTTGGCCCATCCTTCTGCGTTTCCTTGGGGTCATCTTGCTCAGGTCCTAAAGAACAAACAAGCATGAACAAGGAGCACAAAAAAATCCAAAGAGGGGCAATTTACTTACCAGTCGAAGTGACGATCTCTTTCAATTTGATCACATTCTCGTGCTGGAGCTTCTTCAAGATCTTAATCTCCCTGATAGCAGTTATAGGAAACTAGCAACAGCCTAGAGTCAGAAGAGCGAGCGGGGCAAGACGAGAGCAAACATTTTACCCCTTCCTTTTCGTTGTCCATCCTAACTTTCTTAAGCGCAACTATCTCATTCGTATCCTTCTCCCTAGCCATATACACTTGCCTGGCAAGCCGCCCCAAAAACGAAGAACACCGCAATCAATCCCAATCCCCAGGCTGCGAAATGAAAGTCTTACCCATAAGTCCCCTCGCCAATCTGCTCCAGCTTCTCAAAGCACTCGACGCTGCGCGAACCCCACGACGGCGACTCGCAGAGATTGAGCTGATCCGCGGCCGCCTGCCTCGCCATCAAGGAAGGCGCTGCCCACAAACCAGAAAACCCTAAATCGGGAATTTAGGGTTCTTGGGTACAATATGATCCTCCTTTTTATTAAAGGCTAGAAGACGAAGACGACGATGGACAAAAGGTGATAGTATAGTCCGACCCCGCGCTACAATTCCACGCCGACTTCCACGAATCAAAAGGATAGGTGGCGGCGGCCGGGCAGCACGACTTAAACAGCACCGAGAAGACACTCGGGTGGCACTTGTCCGCTCCAAAATGCTCCTTCTCGCAGCAAAACTCGTCCGCGCCGAAAGCCACGCACGGGCTGCTGCATCCCACCGCCATGCCTCTCGGGTTCCACGCGATCAGCTCCGGCGGGCACTTGGAGTTTAGATCCGCGGAGCACCCCGCCACGCCGCAGCCGAGGTTGCTGCTCGTCACCCGGACCTCGAGGTTGTAGCCGGCCAGCAGCGAGACGCGGTAGTGGTCGAGGACGTTGTTGTGGTGGAGATCAAACTCGACGATGGTCGCTGGCGGCGAGAAAGTTGAGTTGCAGCCGAGGTTGCCCGAGCAGTCGCCCGTCTCGCAGCACCCGGTGCCGAGGACGGTGTCAAACTGGCAGTTTGTTCGGCCCCAGAACTTGCCAGACCACCGAGTCGAGGCGTGCACGTCCATGACTTGCCAGGAGTCGAGTCGGCAGCCTCCGGCTCCCAGCTGCGGATGCCCGTCGCTCGGCAGCCACGCCGGCCAGATCGTAAACGGGCAAGTGTTGTAGAGTCGGATCTTGGTGGCTTGAGCACCTGGAAACTTAAAGAGTTAGATCGATCTAGAAATGGTAGAAGAACAAGCTACCGTTCATCCAGGACGAGCTCGATAGCAGTAGCAGCAGATAGAATCCACCGAGAACTTCCATGATCATGCCTTGCGTAGAACCGAGCCCAAGAGGGAAACCACCGTCCGGATCTTGAGAAGCAAGCCAGGCAGTACCGCTTGCATGATCGTAGCTTGAGACAGCAGCAAAGAAACGATGCTCCTTACACTGCAAAAGCGAAAATTCGCTTCGTCTTTCACATGCTCCCGAGTGCTCTCTACGTAAGCTCGCGTTTTCACATGAACCTGAAACGGGTAAAATCGTTAAAGCACAAGAGTTTTACCCGGGAGAGCAGCACGCGTTTATAAACGAAGGCAGCAGCCACTGTGTTCCCTCACTGAACACAACAATGTCACCGCTGGCCAATCGCAACGTAATACTCCCGGCACTCGTCCTCGTCGTGCTCACAATCTCTGGTATAGGATTGCAGCAGAGTATGATATACCCGGAGAACAAGTTCTCTCCATTTTCTCTTTTCGCTTCCCTTGGCTTCCCCTGTGATAACTCGCACCGTTGTCTCTCCGAGACTAACTCGTGATAGCTTTGCAGGAACTGATGCAGCCGGGCGGTACCACATACGTCTCGTCAACAACTGTGGCTTTTCGGTCTGGCCTGCGTGGTTCCACTCGGGGAACCAAAGCCAGATATGTCCCGGAGGCACTTTGCTCGAGCCAACGCAGGAGTATAGCTTCTTCCCGTCGGCTCTCTGGTCCGGCTACTTCTGGGCCCGAACTGGCTGCTCCTTCAACAGAACCACAGGGCACGGACCCTGCGACACCGGCGGCTGCAACGGGAGCCTGGGCTGCAAAGCTCCCGGAAAGTCACCCTTCACCACCGCCGAGTTCTTGCCAAACCGCAACAACGGTACCATGAAGTACCATATCTCGTTCCTCCACGGCTTCAACGTCCCGATAGAAATCTCCGAGCCCCACGGCTACAACTGCACTCACTTGAGCTGCCCCTGTTTCGAGACCATGGAGTCGTGCCCGAGCGAACTGGTTGTCATGTCGGGTGATAAGAAGGTCGGCTGCCAAAGTCCCTGTGAGAAGTTTGGAGATGAAAGGCACTGCTGCCGAGGGAACTTCACAGGCCCGGCCTGCCAGGCCACCGAGTACTCGAAATACTTCAAACAGTCGTGCAAGGACGCCACAACTTATCCGGCTGATCGAGATAGTGTTCAAGTTTGCGCCATGGCTGCCACTTACGTCGTTACTTTTTGTCCAGAGGACACAGTTCCTGTTCCCTCTGCTCGCCGCACCATTCGTCGTGCTATCATATAGATAGACAGCCGACTGACTGTATTTACAACTTTGCGGAAATAAACGCAGCTCCATATTTTTATACAAATTTCAAGAGAAGCTGCAAAACAGCATCGATAAAGGGAAAATTTTCGCCAAAGCAAAGTGTGATAATCAGTATAAAATAAAAGAAATCTGGAAGAGAATACAGTAGTAAACGCGAAATGGAAAAACCAAGCACCACTTCCTTAAAAGGCATACCTTCAGTGCAGTCACAGAGTCAATGGTTATCATAATGGGGAGGTTCGGGAGCAATATCATCTGCACACACAAAGTGTGACGATCGTTGAAAATAAACTTCAAGAAAAACACGTACTCATCCTGTATTTGTCCGGTGGAGGAGGTGGTGGTGGTATATCTCCGTTCGAGCGATTCCATCTGCTATGGTTGGAATAGTCTCCATCATACGGAGGATCAAACATCCTGATATCTTCACTTCTAGCCAGCTCCGAAGCTTCTTTGTCCAGCCTCGATTCCGCCCTGCATTGATGTAAGTGAAAGATTCGAACATATTTGATGCGAGTACCCACATTTTGAGCTCCTCGCGAAGACGGAAGACACGTACAATTGACTTTCGGAGCCTTTCAAAGCTGTGACAATTAGTTACAACTGTCAGTTTCATAAAAGTGGAAGACGAAGCTGTACCTCTTCACTTGGAAGGTCAGGCTACCGATCTTTGACTCGGCTTCCGCATTCCTGGATGCCATCCGCGAGTTCTCTTGCATAGCGTTCTGCAAAGAAGACTTAACGACAATCACGAAACGAGAGTCAAAGCTTAAGAAACCAAAGGAAAAAATGAAATCCTCACCTCGAGCTGCGCCTTCTGCTTGTCGAGGGCGTCCAAGTCAGTCCCGACATCATGCAGCTGCAACAGTTCACACTATCTCAATTCCTGAGCTTAAAAAACAAAAGAGAGAACAGCGTAGATATCGTAAAACAAACGAAGCAAACTATCGACAACGAAGTGGTCGGAGAAAACGAGAAGGTGGACCAACCTGCTCGTTTAGAGAGTTGGATTGCACCTCTTTTCCATCGGACTGACCGTCCCCGAGCGCCCTCACCTCCGACAGCTCGCTCACACGATCGCCCTTGATCCTTTTTCCATCGCCATCTCTATCTCTATCATGGAAACTAGATTTAGCAAAATCCAGCCACGAAAGAAGGAAAAGAAGGAAAAAGCTCGTCTTACAGGTTGGAGCCCGATCTCTTTTGTCCCGTAGATCTTGGAGACGATAAGGACCGACTGGTCCGCTGCCTAGTCGGCGACCTCGAGCGGCTACCTCCTGCCAAGAACACAAAAAAGCCAACAAAATCAAACAAAAGATCTCTCTCGAGATTTTTTTCACCTCGATCGTAAGAGCCCCTCCTGTCGTAGGCGCGCCTGTTGTAGAAGCGGTCCTCGCTTCTGCGGCTGTAATATCCCGATCGACCTGGAGGCCACAATGCACGGGGATGAGAGTCAAATCTCCTCCAAAATTTCCAGAGGGAAAAGGAATAGCTACAGTACCAGGCACCCGGCGGAGCTCTTCCTCCCCGTGGGCGAAGGAGCATGTCTGCCGATGGCAATTCCCTCTCTGGAAGAGATTGCACAGCTTCGTCTTGTACAGCTCCCGGTTATCTGGCATCGCGGCGCTCGACCAGGCCCAAGAATCGGGCAAGAAACTAGGGCGCGCGAGAGTCCTACAGGGAAGCGAGGAGCAGCGAGCCGAATAGCCTTCAGCGGCACCGTTCTTGGACACTCTTTTACAGAATACACCCTAACTGGCTAAAGAATTAGGTTAGGTTTAAAGTTTCTAATTAAAAGCTTTATTTAAATGTTATTACAGTTAGAATATTCTTCATATTAGCTGAGGTACCGATGTCCATGTCCGAGCAATCCCAGCCGCAGATGTTAGGGCATTTTTTGTAATTCATTTTCATTAGTGATTTTTTTTTTATATTCATAAATCTTGTGAATTTTTGAAAAACTTATTTATCTACATATTACTTTATTCCATCATCTTTGACTTGTTGTTATTCTTGTTAATCCTCTTGACTAAATAAGATAACCATGTGTTGCATTGCAACAATGTTTGGTTTGATTTTTTAAAAATAATTTTTATTATAATATTGTGAGGGCCAAGTGTACGGTTACGATGCCGTATACTAATATTAGCGTAATGGGATTTTGGTAGCCATCGGATTGGTTTCAATCTGAACCACTCGCTCCTGTATATAAGCTAGGGTTTCTGGGCTAATTAATATGCACATTTCTGTATTCCTTTTCCATATTCCAAACACTCACATTGGTGGAGTTGAGGGGCATCTTTGATTGTCCCTGAGGAGTGCTTGGATTTGGGATTTTGGTTTAGATCTAACTTTTGCATCGTCTAGATCTAGTTTTTTCCATTTCCTTTCTTTTGTTCTTTCTTTTCAGGGTTTTGGTTTATATCTAGCTTTTTGCATTGTCTAGATCTACCATTTCCTTCTAGCTTTTTGTCATTTCTCTTCTTTTGCTCTTTCTTTTTCGTTCATCTTCATAGTGGATCAGCAATTTCCTCCTTTGACTCTAGAGCAGCAGTTGGTACAATTGCTTGATGCTATGCGCTTGCAATTGAACAACCAAACTCAATTGATGGCAGCGTTCATGGCACGTGGTACAACTCCTCCTGCTCTTGGTGCCAATCCTCATGTTCGGCCGGAGTTCTTTCGCGGGAATCCTGGGGATGATATGTACCATTAGTTTGATCACTTCACGGTGATTGCCACATATCATTCTTGGGATGATGCTTGACAGTTGCGTGAGTTTCCCACGTGTCTCCAAGGGACGGCGTCGCAGTGGTACAATGGTTTGAGCGCAGCCACTCGTGGGGATTGGAGTGTTCTCCCGGATGTCTTCAAACGCGCCTTCGGACATGCCGATGAT